TGATCCATGATAGATAAATTTATCTATTTCTAGCACTTTTTCTTTTATATTTTTCTATTGTTCTTTTATACATTTGTTCTTGTTTATCTTTTAATTATGTAAAAAAAATTCAATAAAATGATATAAATAAACTCATGGCCACCTAAGAAGCAAAAATATAATTTAGACTGGATTTGCCCTGGGAGCCAAAAAGCATGGAATAGAAATCTCCCATGATCCAGACCTGGTTACCTGACAAGTTACTGGGTTCTTACTGTCCAATGTCACAGAAGGGTGGCATCTTTTTCCCTGTACATTTGGAGTTATCAGATTTATCTCATTTGGTTGGTACATTCACTTTGCAGCTATGTTTAATGTCGCCAACTCCCATAGGTATATTAGTATATCCTGGTACCAACATATTAATGGGTACATCAGTAGAGATGGCAGAAGAAGACAATAATTCTGAAGCAACCACATAGGTCACAACCTTCAGAGTAACTATTGTACTGGGAAGGACTTGGGAGAGCAGGAATCTCTTCTGTGAAGTAATTCCTGTTTTACTTCTGGATTTGGCATTACCATCTGTGAAAAGCAAACTGCCTGAAGCATCCTACCTTCATATTAAATGTATTCCACTGATCCAGCCAGTGGATATACAAACCAGCAGTTTACTGTATAATTCCAAAGACCCTGTGGGATGTCATGGTCAGGGTGTTGGACTACAGTGGGGAGAAGCAGGTTCAAATCCATCCAGCAGGCCAGTGTGATGATAACACCAAAGAAGGTAGTACTATGCACATCACCTTTGAGTTCCCAGAACAAAGGTAAGTTACAAATCAGAGTATTTATCTAAATAACTGGTGTAGCATGGCAGCAAGGATGAACATTGTGTTGCCGCTATTGTGCTGACATTTTTGCTTTTTAACCAAAAAAGAATACAGATTCATAAAAAAAAAAAGGGCTGATCAAGTTTTCCATATAATACAAAAACAAAGGAAAATGGAGAAGAAAATTTACCTTACGTTGCAGACGGGCTGGATAAGAGATGGCAGGAGGAACGCACTTGTGCTCCCCAAGGAGATACTGGGATAAGGTCAGGACCCATTTCAGCCTATTGCAGACCTATTCATGGCTGATTGCTATACACTGTTGGACAAGGATAATACCTTGATTGAATATTAGGCTAAAGCACTTCCTCCAAGCATGTTCTCATGCTATGCTGTTGAGCTGGCACAGTTCCAAGGGCAGACAGGCTTGGCCTCCTCTACAGCACAATGAAGCACATTTGGGTGAAAGGCTCCTAGGTCTAAGAGTCGGATTTATAGACAGCTTTAAGTCTCAGTATTCCTTCTTCTGGAAAAGAAATATGAATTCTTGCCCTTCTGTCCAAACTGCAGTAATTTATTTCAGCTGTACTGCAACAGGAAAGTATAAGATGAACAAGGAACAACTCTCTGGAATGCACACTCAGGCCCTAAAATATCAGTGGAACAGGAGCCTGGAGTTAAAATATGCTTTATGGAAGCAGAAACGGTTAAGACCCATCTCTGGAAGAACTAGGGAGAATTCACTGAAATTAATATATCAGTGGTATCATGCCTAAATTCTTTTAGCAAAAAATGTGAAGCTGCATCTGTGGACTCCTGCAAGGCATATGGCAACAATGGAACATATTGGCCATTGGACTGGATTTGGATTCAGTTTTTAGGGAGGTAAATAAGAACTGTACACCACCAGGTTTAGCAATACCAGAACTTTGTATTTTATCATAAAGGAAAAAGTGAAAATATGAAAAACAAAGGTATGATTAGACTGAAATGCAAAGTATTAAACGTAACATTACTTTTAACACAACATGGAAAGATTTTATTCCCTTTGCTAAAAATTCAGAATCAACGAAGAGACATTTTGTCCTCAGTCGTGATGTGGATTTTGTGATGTGATTATGAATGAACACTTTGAAAGGGAGGATTTAAAGAGTATCGCAAACTAATGATGCATTTAAGTTCCTGATTATTTTTATTTTAATAGGTTAATTCTTGACAGTTTGGTTTTAATATCTGCATAAATAACAAATAACTTTAAAAACTGATTGAGGAGGGAGAAAGAAACCTGTTGTTTCTTTTTCCCCTTCATGAGCTTGGAGGCACAGAAAGGTAGATAATAAAATGCTTCTTCCAGTCTTATTTAATACTCTCTTGCAATCTTCACAAAATTTCTTTCCACCTCATTCCCAGAGTGCTTTAAAAATACAATTTGAGCTTCTTTAAAAATACAGAGCTTCTCTAAAAATATAATTTGAGTCTCTTGTGGTGAGTTCATATTATTCTTGCGAAGTAGAAGAGAGAGGTGATACATGTGCCTCTGGTACAAGCCATGATGATGTCATCACATAAATGACAGGAACTTTCTCAACGCATTTCTCTATCATTCTGCCTTCTTAAAACATAACCAAATTACTTATGTGCTAACAGTGGCACTATGGCCAACTTTTTTGAAATGTTACCTGTTCTCCAGAAAAGTTTGTTTTATTTTGAAGCCTTCAGGGTGTGCTTTGTCAGAAATATTCCATATTCAAAAGTAAGGTGTGGAGATAATTTCTAGGTAGGATTGGAAAATCTGGGAAATGTAGTGCAAGACTTCTAGAGGAAGGCACCAGGATAGCAAAAGCTCTTTCAATACGGCCTGTCTTTCTAGCAAGGAGAGCTAATTTGGTTTCCTATATTCAAGTTTTTTTCAAAGCAGAAAATAGCTCCACCTTTTCTTAAAACCCTCCAAAAGGTATCTTCACTAGGATTGTCGACACCCCCATTTATTTAAATATCAGTGATTAATTAATCAACTGAAGGCCAATCCATTGAAAATCTTAAAGTGGCTGGTAGACCTACTAAAATTATTATATGCATATGTATGCATTTTTTAACTGATGTGAATAAGAGGGGAGAATTAGAGCAGAACAACACAGAAATAATTACAGGACATGTGGCATTTGGTTACTGTATCCCTAACGCCAGGCTGTAATTCAGTGGAACTGAAGCCAGGTGACACTAAGTTTATATTCTGACTCCTCTGGAATGAGTTGTCATCTACGGCCCATCAGGAAGCATTTTTCTCTCTGAAGAGGCACCTGATTATGTTTGGGTTTTCACAAGTTTGTTTAACCTTGGTGGATCCTTAGGTGTAATTATTGTAGCATTCTTTAAGGTGGATTGTTGTTTATTATCAATGCATATTATTTTTATTCACAGTAGTTGTTTTATCTATGTATGTGGTTTTCGAATTCATAAACTGTTCAAGTGGCAAGCAGCTAAAAATACTTTTACACAGAACAAATATTTAAAAAATGCATCTGTACTGTCTTGAATGAAAATGAATTGTCTTTGCTCTTCCCAGGCAAAAATCTTTCCTCTGAGCCTGAATCACTTGCTCTTAGTGCTTTAACGTGTTCTGACATATTCATCAATAGAGCATATTTAAAAAATGTTGAGGGTTTGGAGAACTTGGGGCTGCAACTCTGCATAATTTACCGATGCAATAAATCCTTGTGCCCAATGATTTGGTGCTACATAGTGAAGAAAGTCGCTGCTCGGAGAGACTATTCCTGCTGAAAAGAAAGCTTAGGAAGCATAAATTAGAAGTGCTTTGGTTATATAGCACCTTCTTCAGGGATGAATGGGGAAACAACGTTCAAAATGACCTGATAAAAAAGAATCACATTACCTGGGAACGGGCCACCACAGTGAAAAGTGGGAGAGAGAGAAAGCTAGAGAGGAACATAAGGAGATAGATGGATAGAGCACATCAAGGTTCTCAGAGCCAAAGTCCAGGTCCAAGATCAGGCATGTCCAAATACAGAGAGTGGTAAGTGAGGAAAATGGGGCTAGCAAACCAATCAAAATCTGGTTCAAACAGAGAGGCCAGAATGCCTGGAGGTACAGGTAATCCTCGCTTAGCGACTGCCTTGTTTAATGACCGTTCAAAGTTACAACAGCACTAAAAAACAACCTAGTGACCAGTCCTCACATTTATGACCTTTGCAGCATCCCTCTGCTCTTATTTCCCCTTGCTTATTTACCCCATACCAAGGTATCCTCAAAGAGAAAGAGAAAGAACCCCAGTTCAGCTGAAGGAAGTAGCAAGAAGCAAAGGAAAACTGAAGTAAAATCATAAGCACAGTCATAGTCATGAGATTTTCACTTAGTGACCACTTTGCTTAACAACTGAGTTGCTGGTCCCAACTGCAGTT